GACAGTGGAAGATGAGAGAGAGAGAGAGAGACAGAAAGAGACAGATAAAAAAATAACCAAGAGATAGAGAGTGAAAAAGAGTAAGGAAGGCGAGGAGGAGGTGAGAGACAGAGACATAGATAGCGCGAGAGAGTTAGCGAAAAAAGAAACGTAAACAAGACATGAATTTAGTGGAAAGGGAGGACGGGTAGGGTAGGGTGGGGTGGGGACGGGTCGAATCGTGTCGAGGGAGTGGTATTTTATAAATTCCCACTTACCTCTCAGCGCAGTCTTGTCTAGATCCACCACGATCCAAACTGTCTGAGAAAGTGGGTGTGACCCAGAAGACGTTCATATCGGGTGTGTTGCTGCTAGTTCTGCGCCATGGGGTAAGATATCTCTTTAGCACATAAGAAATTATATTATTCTACACCTTCTATTCAACGTTTCTTTTTAAGCTTATAATTTACGCTCTGTTAGTTTCTCTGGTGGTATATATTATGTATAGGCTATGTATAAGCGCCTCTAGTTTAGTTTTCCACTCGAGTCTGTGAAGTCTTATAGATCTAGTGTTGTGTGGATTCTGTTGGATCAGTTTTGTGGAGGAAGGTACAGACGTAGTTTTGGAGTATAGAAAAGTGTGAGTTCACGTGCTGTGCTGTGTTGCTGTGTGTTCGTTCTGTAGTGTGAGTGCAGGGGGTAAGGTGGTTGGCAGGTGTTCTGATGTGGTGTGTGGCCTCCCGCTCCTTCTTTCCTGTCAAATATCTAACATCTTTAAATGTCTCCTACTTTAAACGAAAAATTGATTGTTACTTTCTAGATTCTTGTAACACCTCTTATCTTCGGTGCTTGTGTGGCAAATGTATGTTTTAAATCCTGTAAAACTTTCTAAGTGGGTGGTTGGCGGGTGCTTGGTGTGGTTTGCTCCTTCTTTCCTATCAAACATCTATCGTCCTTATCTCCCCTTTTTCTTTTTTATGTTTGTTACTCTCTTGTAACTTGTAACACCTCTAATCTTCTGGCGCTCATATGACCATATGCAGTGGCGAGCGCCGTAAAACCTCTTCTAAAACAAAACACAAAAATTCTAAAACGATAAAAGCATGAGTACAGAGTGCTGTTTTGTGTAGTTGTGTGTGCTGAGTTGTGTGAGTACAGTGTGCTATGTGGTGTTGTGTTGCTGCTCTGTGTACGCTCAGAGGTGTGAGATATAGGAATTTATCGTGTTGCAAGTGCCGTAAAACCCTTACTAAAACTAGAGGTGTGGATACTGAGTGGTGTATCTGTGTGTGTTCTGAAATGTGAGTACTGAGCACAGTGTGCTGTGTTGTGTACCTGTGGGTACTCAGTTGTGTCAGTACTGTGTGCTGTGTTGTGTACCTGTGGGTACTCAGTTGTGTCAGTACTGTGTGCTGTGTTGTGTACTTGTGGGTACTCAGTTGTGTGAGTACTGTTTGCTGTGTTGTGTACTTGTGGG